AGTTACAAAAGGCCTCAATAAACGAGAAAAGTTGATCGAATTTCTGAAAAATTGATTTTTGTCTTTACTTAGGTATCATGTTAAGAGTCATGTGAGGTCACTTGTCCCCCCCCCCTTCTGAAATTTTGATGAAAGAGCGTTGTTATGTACGCATTTATGCGTTACTCTTTGGATTCTTTATTATAGAGTATGATATATGGTGTCATACTTTGGCCATCGATATTTAAGATTTTTCCCCTCGTACTATGTCGATGCAGGAGCCATTTATAAATTACATCACGTTCTGAAAATCACCTGCAATTCTTGCTGAAATTCTTGCATCACATGCAAAAAATGGAGGTAAGTACCGATTCTGGAGAAATTTTTCCATGGTTTTAGTAAAAATGTCGACCGCTAAAGCCGATTTCTGAAGAGCGCAGAAGTCTCGTAAAATATGAAATACTTTTTCGGGGAAGGCGTAAACCTGGAGGAGTGCGAGATCTAAATCTGTTAGCATAAAATACGCTGCAAGAGAGGGAATAAGGCATAAAACTTCAAATTTTAGCGTGATGTATTTTATGGATGACCCCATGCGATAAATTGAAAATTAATATACAGCGAGTGAGGCTGCATTCAAGATACATTAATCTCACTTTTATACATGTTCTAACCTCTTTAGGATTTTGGCTTCATAGTTTCTCACTTTTTCAGTGCGAGGAGTTCTATATGCATTCCAGAATTTTTCGTGAAGTTTTTTATACGTTTTGTCCACTTAGCTCATTTAAGCATGTAATAAATGTGAGATGGGAACAAACCAAACACAAACATTTTCAAATAAATAAAATCAATTTATGTGTAAAGATAAATTATGTACATTCTAAATATCTTAAAGTAAAACACATCACAAATAAAGGAAATCCGTATACCACTCAAGTCGTTTTGCAGAATTCATCCGTAACCTCACCTCGCAAGATTTTTGTGTTGGGCAGGGCATCTCTTTCGTCGTCAGAAACATGTAAAACTTTCGTATACAACACTGAAAGAATCATATCCTTCAATTCAATAGGCAGGAGTCTGAAAGAAGGGAAAAAAAGAATACGGTAAATACATCGGCCGAATCAAAATCGTCAATTTCGTCTAATTAATGCACCTGTGTTTTCGCTAGTCACCTGACTGTAATGGACGAGAAAAGTCGCTTCAAATTTTCATGTGTAACACGTGTTTTTTCTCTTCTTCTTTCTGTGAGAGTTTTTCGGCAATTTGATTCGCAATGAAAAAAACTCTAAAAAGTCACCGATTTCCTCAAGAGCAAGCCGCAATTGATAAATTTCGTCAAATGGGCGGTTGCCTCTCAGAGCAATGCTTACAATCTTCCCGTCGGCATCTTCGAGAAATGTCACAGAGACACCACGCGCCGCGCGCCTAGAACGATAATATCATATTCGGAGAAAGAGAGTAAGGACAAGGTCGGGAAAGGGAAAGAAGAAAACAGTAGGTCGAAGAAAGAGAATAGCGTGCATAGAGGCCGAAAAAATGAAACCAGGCACAGCCTAGAGGTCCTCGGCCAGTGTTGTCATTTTGAGAAAAACAATCATATTCAAGCATTAAATTGGATGGAGAAATAGCGAAAACATACCGCGAAGCGTCAACACTGCTAAAGATCAGCAGATGTAAATTGCGCAATTATTAGCGTTACCCCACGCTCAGCTCCAAGCGGAGTGCTGACCCATGCATCTGGCTGAAGCGCCGATAAACACGTGCTGATCTCAACGTTGAGAGACCGCACACAAAAATGAAGCTGTCGAATGAGATTCCAACGCGAGAGAGAAGCATATTTTTTAAGTGCGACAACTGTGTTGCTCCTCTTCGCTGAACTATCAAGGCCCGGTGTCATATCGCCGCCGCAAAATTTGAAATCTTCGAGGCATTTTCCGAGCGCCGCCATTGGCCGAAAATTTGGTCCAGTGCAAGCCCGAAAAATAGGGTTTCGTGATTCATTGCGCTGAGCCTTCGTTCATTTATTTCAGAAGAGTGAGTCGGCTTATTTCAACTTCCGCGCTTCAGTGTGTCGCCTTGATGAGAATATCCTGTGTCTTCAAAATTTTGTGTCATCGTAATTTTTTTCAGGAAAAGGAGTCACGTTGACCGAACTAGTGATTTTGCAGTTTCAACATTCGTGAAAAATAACTTTCGCGTACCTTTATCGCTATATCATCAGTGCTCTTTATACCTGTGAATTACCTCCCGTGAGTAAAAACATAACCTAGAAACTCAAATACCGTCGCAGAAAAATATTGTGACTCAACCTTGCATTTCTACTGTGGTGACGTGTGGTAAAAACGACATAACCTCTGGATTTCACGGTAATCTCTCAAAAGTCCCTTTTAAATATTCCAGTACAATTTTTTGAATTATAGTGCGGGAAAATGTTTCCAAAAATCAAATCAATATTTTGGATCTATGCGATGGCGTGCATCTCAGCACTGATCTTCCAAGTTTCAGCCGTTCCACTGAAAGAGAGACTGAAGGAGCAGCAGCTGAAAAAAGACATGGAGCTCCAGCGCCTCGCAAAAAAGGCTCCCGCACCTTTGAAAAAACCCCGCCTGGGAGCACTGCGACCCCCTTTCGGAAGACCGATGGAAGTTGTTGAAGAAGTCATAGATGATTTCGGTAACACCATCATTGAAGATCCACGGCGCGTCGATTTGAGGCCCCCTCAGGTGGGGCAGGTACCCCCTAGACAGCCCCCCAGGCAGCCACCCAGAGGGTTGCTAGCGGGGATCTCAGAAAGGGGCCCGGAGGACGAACATTCAGTATTTGAGAAGCTGTGTTTGATGTTCGGGAAAACCGTCTCCATGGTTGTGAATGAAGTCTCGCCTATGGTTATGCGTAACAAATGATTTTTTAATAAAGTGCAAAAATAATAAAAAATGCGTGCTCGGTGTTTTTTTTTTATCAATTTAGTCAATGGAGAATTTGCAGGTGTCTGAAATTTGATGAATTTCGTGTTTGAGTGGAAACTACTGACAATGAGTGAACTGATCACGATACCCTTGGCTCATGAATTGAACAATTATTGGAGGAGATATGACGAAATGATCTGATCTGCTAAAATACGTGTGTTTAAATGGGAAATGCCGCTGGATGACGTCGCTAGATGGTGCATTTTCTCACTTTTAAATTATTTTTATACTATTTCTCATGTCAGAAAAAAATTCTGTAAAATCAGCTCTTTAAGCACTTTCAGATTTTTTTTTTTTTTTTTAAAGAGTTTTATTTATTGCAACTTCCAATTAGAGGAAACATATCGACGGTGCAAGTCGGCAATCACATAACTCGTTTGCGGTGTCTGAAAATCTCCGCAACTATGTTATTCTTTTAAAGGAGAACTAATGGACATGATTCCTTGCAATTTTTGCAGAATTTTCCTCGCACATAGAAGAAAAATCACGGCAGTTTTAAAGAATTGTCGTTGAGTAGTTTTCCGTTTAAAGAATAAAGTATGACAGGAAGTCTGCGACTTCGCAAATCGAGTTATGTGATTGCCGACTTTCACCGTCGATATACAATTATCATAAGTAAGAAATAATGTATGATAAAGCAACGACTGGTTAAATGCTTATTATCATAAAATCAACTTTCAGATGAAACGATAAAGAATGTGCATGCACATTTTCCATTGAGGAATGGAAAGCACGGATTCAACTCTGCATTTTCAGAGATCCCCCGAATACTTGTAGAAAAAACCACGCACTTACTTTAAGATAGTGCAAAATGATGCATGATGGGCTGGAAAGCTGAACTCAACTTCGTCTCGTTCAATGCCATCGATGATTTCTCTCGCGGTGGCTTCAACTGGCATGGCAGGTATCCTATAAAAAAGTATCGGCCTTCGTTTTTAAAAACATCGATAGAAGGAACGTGTGAGAAAGGAGGCTTTTAAATTGTGAAATGCAAACGTTCTTCATCATTTTTGGACATTTACTCGTTGATTCACAGCGAATGTTGTGCCTTCAATGGGTCACAGATGGGTCCTTTAGTCACAGGACCGTTATTTGGATGGTTCAAGCTAACAGATCAACAAAAAAATAATAAGATTTTTCCCAAAATTGAAATTTCTACGTTCAGTCACGTAGTTGTCACCTTTCAAAAACACACTGGAAAAAAATCACATTGGATCTATAGTCCAGACTCTTGAAAACACTGACAAGAAAAATATTGAATCTGATTCAATCAGATTTTTGCTTAAATCAAGAGGAAATCCGCTCAAATTAAGAGGCTTGGCTCTTGATTTAAGCAAAAATCCGATTGAATCAAGAGTATTTTTTCTTGTCGATGTTTTTCAGAGTCTGGACTCTAGATCCAATGTGTTTTTTTCCAGTGTTCAAAATTTATGATTCAAAGAAAAGAAGATTTTTTTTTTTTTTTTTTTTTTTTTTCCAGTGCAAAGCGTGAGATGTCATCCACCGCGGTATTGTAGACCATGGTTTCTTCTATCATAAATTTATCAATCAGTGATGCACCTTTTTATAGTGATGGTTGCTCTTTTTCAAACACGGATGAAACGAAGGTGGAGGAAATATTAGAATGCACCACCGCGGTGAATGACATCATACGCCGTGCTTTTTGAAGCGTGATAACTCCGTTGATGGACGGGGATCTCGGCTTTTGAACAAATCTTATTATTTTTTGCTCATGTATAATCTAGAAAAATAAAAACACAATTCTCTGACGAGTTTACTGACTCATTTTATGCCTTGGCATTTTATGTCCTCTACTTTCATCTTCGACGACATTTTTCTGCATTTATGCAAACTCGCAATATCAGTGAGAAAAAACTTACTTCAGAAATGGCATTTCCGAGCAGGTGCACAATTACATCACGACGTCGCGTCGCAAGGTGCCATTTAAATTACAAGTTATTTATAAGAGCGGTTATTGCTGCTCCCTGTATAAGTTTTTTGTGAATTTTCTTCCTAATTTGATGAAAATCATCTAAAATTCACAATACCAAAATAATTGGTTCGACGAAACTTCGCAAAGTTGCAATCCAATCAAGCTCCTCTTATCCCTTGTAGTGGTAAATATTTTTGGCACAGCTAAAATTTTCTGACCTCCTCAGGCAACTAATTTTCAAATGTAATTTAATCGAAATGCGAGATAAAAAAGAATTAAATAAAAAAATTACCAAGTGCGGTCCATGTCGAAAGACATGCCTCAACACTTGTTTAAATTGAAAAGTGTAAGAGTTTGTTCAAAAAAGCACATGCTGGGTTGCATTTTACAAGAGAATCGGAGCTTTTTTCCTGTTTTCGCGACGTGTTGGCACGCTTTTAAGGCTTTGAACCAATCGTCACCCTTCGGCCAAAGTAACACAAGCGCCGTGCGACGTTTGCATTCCGCCGCAATTTTATTTTTTTTTACAGAGAAATTGTTTGCTGAATCTGTTTGAAAATGTTACTGAATTTTATCGGCAGCACAAAAAAAGTGCAGCAAAATTTTCGGACAGCTTTGTTGAACAATTTTTCTGAAAAAAAAAAAAAAAAAATGGCGGCGGCAATTTCTAAACATTGCATGGTGCTTGTAATACTTTGGCCGGGAGGTGACGAAATCATGACTAATGAAGTTCAAGGCTAAACTTCGTCCCAACAGTCTCGACTGTTAATAACGGATTAGAACAGGTTATTCTATTTGACGCAGACCAGGAACTTTTTAGTTTATTTTCCTCGAATTATGAGTTTAAAAACAGAGTCTCGCTGGATTACCTGAGATCAACTTTTGAGCTGTAAATAGTATTCGTCGTGATGAAATACGGTGCAACGATCGTCGTCTTCACTAGGTTATCCGGATTAGTTCTCAATTCGTTTCGTAAAGACTCCATCATACCTGAGGAATTCAAAGTTGTAGATTAAAAACGGCATATTCACTCAATAAATTGTTAATGTTTTACAAGTTTGGGCACTCGTAGGTTTTGAAAGGTCTCGTCAGGAGAATCAACTGGACTACATAGCACTGGCGTGCTAAAGAAAAACGCTGTATGAACATTCAGGCGTTGCCGAATTTCGATTAATAATCGCGAATTTCCTGGTAAATCTATGAACATTTATTTCCAATTTTTCAGATAGTGTTGTTTGCAATTTCACTTAAAGTTCCTGAAAATTTCAAGGAGAAATATTCTTCAAAAATTAAACAATTTATTGAAGGAAGTTTGGGAACTCTTAAGTGTTCGTGTGGCGTTCTTCCTTAGCACGGCAGAGTGGAAGTTCATTCAAGTGCATTAATTAAAGGTTCAGCACTCAAAGCGCTGAATTCCGCGTCGAAAACTTCGACCCAATAACGCGTTTGTCCCAAAATGACAAAAAGTATCCAAAAATAGTTTAAAATTTGCAAACGAAATCGAATCACAACTCTAAATATCTAATTCATAGGCATTGAGCTTAAATCAAAACCCATTTCTAGGCTCATATTTTTAATTAAAGACACACAGGGGGACGTGGTTAATTTTATATTTGTTGGCAACTTTCCTTTCCTTCGATCAATACTTACCATTGATGGCCCATTTTGTGGAGGTGTAAACTGATGCTCTTCCTAGACCACAATACGATGAGACTGAAGATACTGCCACGATGTGTCCATGATTCCTTTTTATCATACCAGGCAAAAATTCTTGAATCATCTGTAAAAAGATAAAATGCATTTATCTCACAATGACCATTAAACGAGACAGGGTAAGAATTAGACCTCAAGAACGCACGTATTATCATCATCAAAATTGCACACAAAACTCGTCAAGGATATCGAAAATTTCCAAAATGAACCTATAAGTTTTGACCCAAAAAAGTTGACGTAGCGAAATGCGCATATAAAACGGAAAATTCAAAATTCCCCCTTGCGTAAAACTTTAATCAACAACGTTAATCAGTTCAGCCATTAAAAGAACCTGAATGCCTAGCAAATAAAAATCTGAAGTCAAGGAGAAGTAGCAAAAAAAAAAAAAAAAACTAAATGAATTTTTGTTGTGTGTAGCCTTTCCTCGGATGATGCTATTTTTCACTGTGTTTTTTGGCTGATTGAAATCACCACACAGGTAAGTTTTTCAATCGAAATTCGCAGTGGCGTGGCGTGAATTGCGATATATCGATTGTTATGCCATTTAAACCTACGGAAAAGTATCGACAAACAGGGTGTTCGCAGCGAACACCTCAATAATCGATTCTTTACCATGGATTTAAATGGCATAACAATCGATACATCGCAATTCACGCCACGCCACTGGAAATTAGTCGAGTGCTCGCACTGGACTTCACTCGATTAAATCTTGGTGTTTCGTGAGTCGGTGAGCGTGAAGTATGAATCGACGTGCAAAAAACTTATGTCCTGATTTTCAAGTTGTATTTGGAGAGGTCAAATGCGTCCATCATATTCCACGCAAAATATTAATGAGAATTTTTTTTATCGTGGTGGTTAATATCTCATCCATCGAGTCCGTCGCCCAGCTGATAAAAGGGCGCATTGTATATACCTACATTAAGATGAGCCCGGAATATCATGGAATTGTATGGGCGACAGGGTTTATTGTCGGGTGTAATTATGCCCATGTTAGCAGGCTGATTATTGAAATTGATAGACAAAGCTGTAGACAAATAAGACAAAGAAGGAGATGAAGCGATCCTATTGATAGAAGCGAGTGGTGGAATGGACAAAGTAAGTAAGTAATAGACGAACTAACGGCAACCCTCGAGAGACTCTAATATAAATAACTGAAGCGCTGCGGGTGCCGAAACTGCAGAAATGACATTTCTTGGTTGCGGTTGCGGTGCATGTCTCGGAATTTCCGCTAACGTTTCATGCATTATAATTAAAAGAAATTGAATGGAATTCGTTGAAACTTTTACTGAATTTTCTTCATAACTATACAATGCTAAAAACGAAAAAATTCAGAGAGATCACTGGGCAGTTTCCTCTCTAGAATACAAATTGAAAGCGAAGATTTTGAGACACTGCAACCAAGAAATGCCCTTTTTGCACCCAACGCCTTAATTGGATGGAGTTAAACAGAAAGGAACCAAGCCACATCAGGATCGAACCGAGAAAAAGAGGTTTAAAGTTTGGCTCCTGCATAAAACTCAATGTAAAAGATAAACTTCAAGTTCAATTTCTGCAAAATCTGCTCCAGCAAAAGCTTTGAATTTTTGGCGATAGATAGTAGAGCAGTGGTTAAGTTCAAAACCACTCATAACTCAATTTTTTCCAAAATGTGGGTTGGTTCCTTTCTGCTGAACTCTGTCCAATTATTCGTCCAATATTTCCCCCCTCAGTCTATGAGAACATCCCGTTTCAACCAATATAAGATCCCGTCATTTTTCCCTATCATTTTTGTCTATCACTTTGTCTATCCATTTTCATAATCAGCCCACAGAAGGACGACGAATCGATATTTTGCTGAGGCTGCAGATGACGACGCAGCGCAGCAATATCAATATGTTCTGAATTTTTCTCTTATTTAGACACCCGGCAAAAAATCCGAATGGTTCTCCCGTACCAAACCCGTGAAAACGTAGGGAAAATCAATACGCTAGGCATGCACTTCGAGTGCGCTATTGCACAGAGAAAAATTGAAATATCTCGGAAATATTGTAATGAACTTATGCCCTTCACCTTCACGGTACCACGCCATGAGCAAGTAGGTGTGGTGGTCCGTAGGCTCCAGGGGTCTCTCGCTAAAATTAGAGGTTCTCTAGTTGCGGACCCTCTCCAACTATTGTTGCTTCGTCATGTCATTTATAATTTCGATGTCATGCGTTTCTCAGCTCCCGCCGCAAACTGCAACTCTGGGCGGCAGTTTCGGTGGCTTTGATTTGGACCCGAGGATGATTCTTTTATTTGCTGAGTAACCTCACTAAATTCAAGGTTGCTACCGCGACAGATGCTGAGATGGTTGCTTGATCATTGTGCACTTCATATGTAAGTACGCTTACAAAAAAGAACCGAACACGAAGCTAGTTTCTTGGTAACCAGTACTGAGGCACAAAAATGAAGCGTTACGTATTTCATAGACGACTCTGAATCTGCAGGCTGATGATTGAAATCGATAGATAAAGCGATGGGCAAAGAAGATAAATGGAAAATATAGCGATCGAATTGATGGAAGCGAGTGGTTGCAATGGACAAATGAAGTAAGTATAAGAGACCGACTTAAGGCAACCCAGGAGAGACCCTATGGTTAGTCATTAATTTCCCACCATTGGCTGTAACAACCGACCGTTTCAACAAAAGAGATCACTCCATTTTCTTTTTTCCTTCGCTTTGTCCATCAATTTTAAAAATCGACCAGGTTTCCGCGGAACTCGATATTTCGTTGGAAGAACGTTGGCAAAATTCAAACGTTCAGGGGCTGAATGCAACTATTCGAGCTCAGTGGATATGCATGTTGCCTACATAATAAAGGAAGGCGCTATGGCTTTTATGCCGTCCATGACATTCACGTGACGGATCTTCGACAAAATATTGTGGTGGGAAGGAAAGAGTGCATGTGCTCGTTAGACAAGGGCCGTAGGAATGAAGGGGCATTATTAAGCGTCAGTGATGTCAGCAGTGACGAAGCCGCCGCAGCGGTCGTCCTCCTCCCCCCCCCCTTGNCCCCCCTTGTCTAAAGTTACTCATAAGCCCTGTCCACAACGCTCTTGTCCCATGTCCATGGCTCATGAGTCATGAGTACGCATTCAGTTGGCACATGATTTCATGTGACAGAATGTGAAATCCCGCTTTTCCATTTCTCCAAAGGGAACCAAGCCCAAATTTCAGGATTCATCTATAGTTACGTTTGGCAGAATTACATCCATAAGTGGTTTTTGGGTGTAGCAGAGCGCCGGGGTGCGCTATGAGAGCGACGTGTATGTACGTAAGTAACCCTTTGATAGGGTGCTGAGGACTCACCCTAAACTGGCTGAGGACGTTGATCTGGAACATGGCGTCGAGGTCCTTGTCGTTGACCTCCTGGACGGTGCAGCCGCCGGAGATGATTCCGGCGTTGTTGACGAGGACATCGACGCGGGCGTAGTCGCCGTGGATCTGCTTGCTGAGCTTCCGGATGGCCTCCGTCTTGCCCAGGTTGGCCACGTAGCTCCTGGCCGCATTGGCGCGTCGCCTGTTGATCTCCTCAGCGACGGCCTTTACCCCGGCTTCGTCGATGTCCACCAGGGCCAGTCGGCAGCCCCGCTCCGCCAACTGCAGGGCCAGCTCCCGCCCCAAGCCGTTCGCAGCTCCTGTAATCTGAAACATACGAGAAAAAAAGCGGTTTAACGCTCATCTCTATAGATGTAGGTCAAAAGGCGTCACCTTGATACCGGGTAGGTACCGATTCTACCCTCGCGGGACTACACTGAAAAAAATTCTCGGCGTTTTTACCAAGGTTCGTCGGTACCTTTACCATCTCACTTTTTTTTACCAATTATTGGTAATTTTACCAAGACGGACTGGTAAGCTTACCCAAAAACCGGTATTTTTACTGGGTTTTTTTTTTCAGGTAAGAATACCACTTTTATTGGTAATCAATTCCCGGTAACTTTGCCATTTTATCTCGGTAATTCTACCATAGTCAATAAAAAATATTGGCGTTTTTAACGGGGTCCAGTAAAATTACCGAGAAATTCAATAATTTTACCGAGATTTCTGGGTAAAATTACCAATTCCATAAATGGTAATTTTACCAAGAAAAAACTGGGATCAAATAGAACCCTGAGTTCTTGGTAATTTTACCCTTTTCTTAGTAAATATACCGAGATTTTTTTTTTTCAGTGTCCGGAATCAGATGATGGTATTATAGGTCTCAGTCATGTGGGCTTATCATTGACGTTGATAGACAAAGCGATAGACCATGGGGAAATTAACGATCCAATTGGTTGCGACGGGTGGTTGTATTAGACAACCATCAGTTACTAGGGTGTTCATTCCCTGACCGCTACGCAGCCCAACCCCCTTAGTGAGCTTTGGGCCCGCTAAGGTCCGCTTCGCAGACCCTCGTAACTGTCAATGATTATGTATCTCATAGTTATGGAAATGAAAGAACTATGGAAACAGTTGTGTTAATTCATATTTATAATACCAACGAGAAAAAACACTAAGAAGTGGCCTGAACTGTATATAACAGGGTGGAGAAGTGCGGTGCTGGGTCCACACCACTTCACGGGGAAATCAAAGCCGAGAAGTTCCAAATATTATAATTGGAGTCAGTGTGATTGTGAATGATTATGTATCTCAAAGTTATTGAAATGAAAGAACTATGAAAACAGTTGTATTGATTTATATCTATGATGCCTACTTGACACAAGTATGAAATATGACCAGTGACCACTCTGCATAAAATTTGTTGCTCACTTTTCCTCTCCTCGGCGTTTTCCTCCGCTCATGAGTTTAACATTAAGCGAGACAAACAATCCTCATAAAACTGCATTCCACCTCTTCGAAATTACTGTGAGCATTTTAATTCCAGGAAGGGTAGGTAACGCAAAATGTACCTCATGCGAGTCATGCTTACCTAGCACAGGCATCTTGTTCTTTGCTTTTTTTGACATAAAAATCTAGTCAAAAGCAAGAAGACAGTAAAAACCAATCATGAAATTCATTTTATTTGCAATTCTCTCGTCATTACCTCCGTTTAAAGACCTGCACGTTTGGTTGAACGATTGTTTGTAAAATGACGGAAAATGCAAGTCGATCCATAGTCACGGAATCATTTTTTGGCGATTTTAAACGATAGATTGGTAAAACAAACAAAAAATAATACTAAGATATGTCCACACATAAAGTCTCCACGTCCAATATCAGCGGGGATATCTCTCATCTTTAAACATAGTGGATGATGTCATACGCCGGTGTCCTTCAAACGACGATACTTTTATCTCCCTCAGACAATATTGGGCGCAAAAACTAGTCCTTTAGATGACTCTTTATCATCTTTTGCCCATATTTAGGCTTCAACCATCAAAACATGATCCTGTGACTTGCGCAACCAACCGTTTGTTCCTCTATGGCATCGCATGAATCAATTGTGGATTTTGGATTCTGGGGGTTGCAAATCTATGTTGTGGCTTTCGTAAAAACACACTAAGTTCCAATTTCTTTTCCCAGAATGTCTACGTGTTGGTATTCATGTTTTCAAAAACGAAAACAATGATACAAATTTGCAACACCATGCCACAGAGGAATGATTCTATTTTTAGGAACCAAAAAATACGTGGTAACAGAATCGTTGTACACCATGCCATAGAGGGTTTTTAAGGACGATTTATGAGGAGTGCGTAGGTAATTGAATGAAGCAATAAATAAGGGACTTACAAGAACTGTCTCTCCGCCCAAAGATTTCTTTTGTGGAGGAAGGAACTTTTTGACGAAGGCTAGCAGAATCATGGGAAACGCAATGAAGATTATCCACGCTAATTCTAGGAGGAGTTTTCCTGGTTCTTTTGGCAGATTGTTAATTTGTTCAGTTCCATCGAGAATTTTACCCGCTTCACCATTCGCCAGTTCCGTGTGGCCGTTTGCTACGCCATTTACAGTACCGTTGGCTGTGCCGTTCGATGTCATTTTCAGAGGATGCCTGTTTGAGGCTAGAAAAAAAAATTAAAAACATGAACTTTATAATTAATCAATGTAAACAAAAATTCGTGTTTATGTGTTGCATAAAAGTTGATCAAACTGAGAACAACACCGGATCCATATGGCTCCGAGTTGATGAATTTCATTATACACGATGCACCATAAAAATTATTGTGTTCTTCGTGATATTTTTAGTCGGTAATAAGGGAGGAAAAGCCCAAAGTAATCTCAGGAAGTTGACGTAGTATCAACCCCTTCCAATTCCCTTAATTATTATTACTAGTATTCACGTTGTATTTTTATTGCTTTTAATGTGTTGACGCCAATAATTTACGATGTGATTATAGAATAGCTCTTTCTGATCAATTTTGCTCAGCAACATTGCCCCTCCCTCTTCAAATAGATACTTACTTACTTTTCCTTTCAACGTTCGGAAAAGCCTCATTTTTTAATCGTTTTGAATAAAATCGGGAATGTTTTGAGCGAAATAAAAGTAATATTAAAATGTGTTCTACAGCAAGGCAGCTAAATCTCAGGCCGCCAATAGGAGTCAGACCGCATGTATTCATTTATGCAACCATCCATGATGTCCATTCATTAATTCATTTGTTCATTCATTCATTCATTCATTCTGTCGCTACATTATAATCCGTCTCCTCGTATACGCTTGTAACTTGTCATTCGAACGCATGTAGTCCTCTTGGCGCTCGCACAATAACACAGGCTCATAAAAGAGCCAAATTTTTTGTTTTTGAGCGCGGGCAATGAACTTGGCTCTTTAATTTCAGTATCATTGAACGCCAGCAGTACACTCTACAAATCGAATTGCATATCGTCACAAAATTTTGCAGCTTATCCGCTCTTTCCCCGAGTCGTTGGCGGGCACAAAGAGGAGGATGGCACGGGACATTCGCCTCATTTCCTCTATAAACACGTGTAAAAATCCAGATCAAATGCGATATACGTCATTTTTCGGGGAATAGCTCTAGCCCCCCCTCCCCTTTCGTTTCAAGTGACTAGATTCGTGGTCAACCACGAGTGGGCCTTGAAAGTTTAAGATCACATTTACTATGGACGATTGTTAAAATGGACTACTTTTTGCAATTCGGAACTATGATTTCCGGCTCATTTGTCAAAACACTTATGTGCATAGGAAAGCTGATGGTACATACGTTGTTTCTAAACTGAGTCAGAAATTATGGTTCCTAATTGCAAAATGTAGTCCAAATGAAGATACCATTCCATATATTCAAATTGATGATGGCTTCATGTCGAGAAATCAATTTTTCGTTTGAGACGCTAAAAATGCACTTGTTAAAAGTAAGCAAATTGGCCAGATCTTTATAAGGAAAGCGAGAAATTCGTGAAATTATTAATCTATTTTAATGTGCCATATGAGGAGTGGGTCGTGGTAAGCTAAGTGATGGGCTTATAATTGTAGTCATCACGAAGAGTATCAAAATTTGCAGGAAATCGCCCAGAAATAATGGCAGCTGTCAAATCTTCTACTAATGGACCATACAGGTTTATCGGCGTCTAAAATGCTGAATAACAAGACCGAACAGCGGTCATCAAAAGAAAAAGGGTGCAAGTTTCCTCGGTTTTTATGAAAAGATCTTTCGCGTTGCTTTGTTTCCGCTGCTTCATCAATCATGCCAGCAAAAAGTATCGTCACATGGTTGCGCGATTTACCCATCATGACATTTTTTAACTTGTAACTGATCAGCGTGACAAAGTTTAAAATATATAAAAGAATATTCAAATTTAACTAAACACCTAGTAAGAATGAAACCAAGACGAATTTTTCAGGTACTTTCTGTAAAAAAAAAGGGTAAGAGGAGATTGAGGCATTAGAATGAATCGAGGCCTGGGAATGAGGACGATTACGTAACACCGGGACTGTCCCCCCGGTCCCCCT